AAAAAAAAAAAAAAAAATGGGAAAGATGGTAAATTTTATGTTATGTATTTTTACCACAATTTAAAAATATATTATTGAACATGGGCAAAATCTGAAAAGAAATCCCCTCCTTCTGCAAGTAAAAATACTTCTTAGGATAGTGTGACAGCATTCTGGGAAAATACTTTAATGTGCTTTAATTTTCATGTTAATTAGCATATTGCTTCCAAGGTATTTTTTTTAGTGTTGCCTAGATCTGCATCTCAGAAAGTCATCACCTATTGTAATTCGTGGTGGCCTTGCCTTTTTTCCCCCTTTTTGGAGTATTTGGGGCATGCTTGCCCATCCTTCTTATGGAACCTCTCTCATTCTCTTCCTCTGTGGTTTTTCAGAGACCACAGGTTTGAAAACTGGCCATTCTCACAGTCTGCTAGCATAGTCATTTGAATTCATTTGGGTGTTAGATACATCCTTTCTCCAGTTCATTCTCTTCTGACTTTAATTCCTTTTAATCAATGCTTGGTCCACTCATTTTGCAAAATACGAGTTGGGCAGTTGAGCTTTCTCTGAGCAGTACCCAGCAGCACACAGTGGTAGGCTCAGCTCTTCCTTCTTGCCTAAGTGATTGCCCTGAACCTAATTGTAAAGACCTGTTTGTGTGGACCCTCTTCTAAGTAATTAAAAATCCATTGCCTTCCCTAACAACTTTTAAAATTATTTTGGCTAGGCTTGTAATCCCAACACTTTGGGAGACCAAGGTGGGAGGATCACTTGAGGCCAGGAGTTTGAGACCAGTCTGGGCAACATAGCAAGACCCCATCTCTATTTTGTTTTGTTTTGTTTTGGTTTTTTGAGTCGGAGTCTCACTCTGTCGCCCAGACTGGAGTGCAGTGGCCGCTCCCGGCCACCGCAGCCTCGACCTGCTGGACTCCAGCAATCCTTCCGTCTCCGCCTTCCAAGGATCTGGAACTACAGGTGCACGCTACCACACCCAGGTAGTATTTTTTATTATTGTAGAGATGAGGTCTCGCCAAGTTGCCCAGGCGGGTCTCAAACCCGCGGGCTCAGGCAATTCACTCACCTCAGCCTCCCAAAGTACGGGATTACAGGCTGAGCCACTGAGCCCGGCTGCATCTCTGTTTTTTAAAAAATTAACCAGGCATGGTGGCACAAGCTTGTAGTCCTAGCTACTCAGGATGCTGAGGCAGGAGAATTACTTGAGCCCAGGAAGTGAAGGCTGCAGTGAACCAAGGTCACACCACTGCACTGCAGCCTGGGCAAAAGAGCAAGACTCTGTCTCTAAAAAACAATAGTAATTCTTTTAATGGTTCAAAGAGAAATTCTTCACCAGAAAATGGCCATGAATCCAGTATGGGTAATATTTTGTTAATATTTAAGGTTATATTGATTAGCAATAAAGGCATTTTCATAGAACTTTATTTATCTTGGTAATGGGTAGATCAATGAATGGATAAAATTCTTTAAAAATTCATACATATTACTCTCAAATAAGACTCCCAGTGAAACTAAACTGGTTGTGGGGGCTGCTCTCCTTGGCTCATTGGTCATCACTTTTTTGAGAGCTTTGCAGTTCTCAGGAGGCATCTTTCCTTTAAGGAGTTAACCTAGTTCTCTCTGAAGTTTTGAAAACTGCCTTCCTTCCAACAAGGGCTCACTCTGGATTATGCAAAGCTGTTCCCTCTCTAATTATGACCTGACTGCCTTTTCCCAAGGTTCTACACTTCTCTCCTGTATCCTCAGCCAGTTTCTCCTGCTGGGCCAAGATCTGGCTCGGCCTAGGGAGCAGCTCCTGCTGCCCCTTCTCTCTATGGAGAATATAGCTCTCTAGAGGCAAGTTAAGAATTGGGATGTTCTGCTGCTTAGCCAAGTAGGGTATCCATGCAGTGTCTGGAGAGCTGAAGTCCCCTGGTTCCGGTGCCCATTCTGTGATTTGCATCTAAAATGTAAAATTCATTTCTTCCTCCTGACCTGGCAGTTTGCATTTTCTTGCCATATAGCTCTGTTCTGCTTCTCTTCCTGAACTTGACCTTATTTTGAATAACCACACAGAGTCCTTCCCATCCTAATCCCTTCTCATCAAATGTCACTGATACCTCTAAGGTCTATGTACTCTCCTGATCACGTTCTCCTTTACTAATAATTCCCTAGTGGCATCCTGTCTCTAGTCATTGTTCAGATTTCCTTGATTATCTCATAGAAGTTGGCTTGTTTGACTGCTGGGCACAATAGCTCACACCTTTAATCCCAGTACTTTGGGAGGCAGAAGTGAGAGAATTGCCTGAGTCCTGGGCTTTGAGATCAGCCTGGGCAACTTGGTGAGACCTTGTCTCTACAATAAATTTTAAAAATTAGCCAAGTATGGTGGAAGGATCGCCTGAGCCCAGCAGGTCAAGGCTGTGGTGGCTATAATCATGCCAGTACACTTCAGCCTAGACAACAGAGTGAGACTCCGACTCAAACAAAAAAAAAGAAGTTGACTTGTTTGAATCAGGAGCCACATACTGCCCTCACTTTGCATTTATTGATTAATCTCTTGGGTTTTTTAGTCTATAGGATTCCCTTTCTTTTGTTTCCTTTCAGTTTGGTGGTGGTGGTGAAGAATTCAGCCCTTTTAAAATATATACATATGAGTGAATGTTTTGTAACACATTGATCTTGATTATGTTTTATTGCACCAATACAAAATTGTTTCCATTCCTTTTATGTATTTATTTATTTATTTTGAGTTGGAATCTCACCCAGGCTGGAGTGCAGTGGCATACTCACAGTCACCCAGCATCGACCTGCTGGGCTCCAGTGATTCTTCCGCCTCAGCCTTTCAAGCAGTCAGACCTATAGGCACATGCTACCATGCGCAGCTAATTTTTTTGACTTATTGTAGAGACAAGGTCTCGCCAAGTTGCCCGGGCTGACCTCGAACCCGCAGGCTCAGGCAATCCACTCGCCTTGGCCTTCCAAAGTGCTGGGATTACAGGCTGAGCCACTGAGCCCGGCCTTAATTTGTTATCCAAGGGTAGGAAAAGACAGCCCCTACATATACTGAGTGGTAAACAAAGATACTGGGAATCAATATTAGCCAAAGTAAATGGAGTAAGACACTGGTCCCAGTATTCTTGTCCTGATCCCTCATGGAGCTCAGGGCCCCTGTGAGTCCCCAGATTGTCTCAGCAAGCAGTGCTTGTAATGTTATTCCATCTGAATATTTTCTGCTTGTGCTGGATTGGCTTTTTTATTTTTTTATTTATTTGTTTGTTTGTTTATTGAGGCAGGATCTCACTCTATTGCCTAGGCCGAAGTGCAGTGGCAAGATTACGGCTCACTGTAGCCTCAATCTCCTGGACTCAAGTGATCCTTCCACCTCAGCCTCCCAAGTAGCTGGGGCTATAGGCAGGTGTCACCATGTCAGACCATGGAGTTTCTTTTTATACCTTAAGTTAATGGCTACCCACCCCTTCCCTACCTCTATAGTCCCTCTACTATGAAGGAGGTGCTGACTAAAGCAAGAATGTCCCTTTAGTTGGGGGGTCAGTAAAGGAAGAAATGAGCAAGGGCATGAGAAAGCTGGGATACCAAGAGTCTGTTGGTTCTCAGAAGAAAGGGCAGCTGGGGTCCGAGGTCAGAGGAGAGGGAGACGGCTGATTGGCTAACACCTGCCCTCAGACCTCAGGCAGGTACCCACAGTCCTGCCTTAGGTGGGGTTTCTCGTGGTGATCTGACCTGTTCTTTCTGTTCCTACTGTGTTTGGGGAGGCCCCAGTGCATTTATACAGTGACCATTTGAGCCTTGAAGGTGGTGTTAGTCTTCCCCTTGAGCTTTAGCCTGTGTTTGATGAGCATGTTACAGACCATTAAGTCCACAAACCATTTCAGTCTTAACCCTCCACTGCCTCTTTCTTTTCAACCACTACATTATGGGAAATGTTTGCTATTTCAAAATTGCAGTGTGGTAGCTTTGGGAAAATTACTTTTATAAATGCCCTGGATTTAAGACAAAACAAAACAAACCCAATCCTAGAAACCACCCAGTCCTCTCATTTACCATCTAGTAGAGAAAACCCATGTGGAAATAGTGACACCCAGATTGCTCACTGGGTGGAATCAGACCTAGAGACTCATAAATCTGCAGAGTGAAAGTTCCTCTGATTAGCATGGACTCAGTAGCTGCCTGTGCTTGGATTCACACTCAAGGAAGAAGAGCAAAGTGGGAAGGGCTGGGCAGCCATGGTGGGCATGTGCCTGCTGGTAGTGTTCATCTGACGTGTGGGCACAGAAATTGGCCGGGGAAGCTCCTAGACAGGGCTGGTAGTATTGTCTCCTCCTTTCACACGGGCAGGCGTCAGAACTTGGGCTCTGCCAAACAGGGGTAGTATCACCTGCCTAGTGCCTCCGCTGGAAGGTCAGAGAGTGACCCTTACGGCAGGCAGGCCTAGCACATGCCAACCACCACTAGCCTTATAGGCAGAGACTCTCCCAGACCAACCCTGCCAGCCATGCCTAGTAGGGGTCAGTGGTCCCTCTACTTCCCCTTTGATTTCCTCCTTTGGTTTCCCTTACGTGCTCCTATCATTAAGTCAGAAAACTTGCCTGTAGGAAGCCGAATACAGCAAGTGTTCAAATGACAATTGAAGCAGACTGTTGTACTGGCAGATTCTGGCAGGCTCTGTGACTAAGAGAAGGCCAGTGTGCTGGAAGAAGATGTCAGAAGTGCCACCAACAAAACCTCTGGCCCTAGAGAGGGTCCTTGCCAGGGTCCCCTTCAACAGAGCGCTGTCATAGTTTCTCCATAGTTTTCTCCACAGATGTTTGAGCATTGCACTTCAGAACCTTTTTTCCAAAGTGGGGGCCACCACTGCCAGAGAGCCGATGCTTTCCACTCCAGCACCTTGCTCCCATGGCTAGAGCCTCCTCCTGGCTGCCCACCCGCACCCACATGCCCCAGCCCCACTCACTCACTATGGTTCTTCCAGGGCCCAGGAAACCTTCATGCAGTGGGATCAGTGCCGGCGGTTCTACAACTTCCTCATGGCTGACAACATGAAGAAGATCATCCTCTCACACAGGTACATCATCTTCCATTCTCCCTCAGGAGACAGACAGCTCCTTCCTGAGCTCATTTAGGAGTCACTAGAAGCCAGACCCCTGCTTCTCAAAATGAGTGAATGAATGCCTATATACATAAATAAGATGGGGTTGGTGTAGTTGCTCTGCTTGCCTTCATTTATGACTTGGTTACAAACAAACTTGTCTCAAGCTACCAAATTTGCCAAATCATTTTCTGCCTTCCTAATTCCCTGTAACTCCAAGACATGGAACCACTTCTGCCCCATTCTTTCCCAAATGAGAGAAATCCTTAAGTGGCTTGTCATCGTTGAGGGGACCTTCCTCCTTAGGATGCTTCTGTGCTTGGGGATCAGGACTCGTGCTCGGCTCTCCTTTGGGGTTCTGATGTGAAGCGAGAATCAGAACGTAGCATCCGCACCTCCCTGCTTGGGGTTTGAGCCTCTGCATGCACACCATGCTCATCCTACCTCTCCTGCTCAGAGCCTTCTAGGGGGTTGACCCGTCAAATGCTTAGAGCGTGCCTGGAGTGCAGCTGTACTCAGTACGTGCTCATGATGATTTTTCCACTATGATTAGTTATCACTGACATCTCTGCCTCCTTCTCTACTCCTCCCTTCCCTCCAGCTGGACTGGGCCACTTAGAGACCACACGCCCCCCTGGGGTTCCCTACCCCACGTACTGCCCTTGCTGAGAATGTCTTCCCATCATCTCTACTGTGGGAACCCAGCCCATCCATTAAGTCCATGTCAGCTCTCCTGCCTCTGTGGAGCTGGCTCATCCACTCCCAAGTTACTTTTCTGTTGTTTCCCCTCTGGGAATCCTGTGTCATAAACTAAACTGAAAAGCACAGGAGGGCTTAGGCATGTTTTGATTGTTCCCAGAGTCTAGCACATATGAGTGCTCAAAAATTAAAATTTGGGGGGATTTTTGGCACTACCCTAGAAAGGCATTCTGACTAAATGATCAGTTTCTTGTTCTCTTTTTTTCAATGTTTAAAAGAGAATTTGGTACTGCCTATCTAGGCCACACACTCCAGATTGGGCTTCCTGTGGGTGGGGGTTCACATGGCGCCTGAGCAAGTCTGGACTCACAGGCCCCTCAGGCTGCCACACTGCCAGACATGTCCTCAGGTCCTCGTGTTGAGTGGGTGGAGAACAGAGGGAGACTTCTGTCCCCTGTGTCGGCTGGTAAACCAGCTATTTCTGCTCGACTCGTGTTGTTTGAGCATCAGCCATGTGCTGGGCACTGAGATGGGTGTGGCTCGGCTGAGGTTCAGGTGTGTCTGGGGATTTGCCGAGGTTATGTGGGCCAAGGGGGTGAAGTCAGGCCTCAGATACCAAGCCCAAATCCTCTGTTTGCCTTTCTGCTCCTCTGAGGTTAAAAGTGACTCCTCCCAGGGAACATTTGTTTTGTTAAAGGGCCCTCTCTTACTACTAATTAGTTTAGAAGGTTCAAATAGGGAGTCTTTTGAATGTGCTCTTCTGAGTGTATTTACATTTTTGAAATTTGCTACAGAAAGGCAAATATTTAGACATTTTAGGGAAACTTTAAATTTATGAATTCTATATAGTAAGTATATAATCTTCCTAATATTCTTTATAGTGCTAGAGAAATGTGTGGAGAGGTTGGAAATGGATAGCAGAATACTGGGTTTCCATCATGAATCTTCTCACTGAGGCCAAACCTCAGAGCAAACTCAGTTCTCCCTCAGTGGTGTGACTGGAAGCCCCTGCCAGAAAGGAAAGTCTAAAGTGCACATTTTGCAGCCTGGGCAATATAGTGAGATCTCATCTCTACAAAAAATACAAAAATTAGCTGGGTGTGGTGGTACATGCCTGTAGTCCCATCTACTCAGAGGCTGGGGCAGCAGGATTACTTGAGCCCAGAAGGTCGAGGCTGCAGTGAGCTGAGGTCATGCCACTGCATTCCAGTCTGGGCAACAGAAGGAGACCCTGACTTAAAAATAAGTAAATAAATAGGGCTGGGTGAGGTGGCTCACGTATATAATCCCAGCACTTTGGGAGGCCGAGGTGAGAAGACTGCCTGAGCCCACAGGTTTGAGACCAGCCTGGGCAACTTGGGGAGACCTCATCTCTACAATAAATCAAAAAATTAGCCAGACGTGGTGCTGCATGCCTGTAGTTTCAGCTACAAGGAAGGCTGGGGCAGAAGAATCACCTGAGCCCTGTAGGTTAAGGCTGCGGTGGCCGTGAGAGTGCCACTGTACTCTAGCCTGGGCGACAGAGTGAGACTCCGACTCAAAAAAATATATAGTAAATAAATAAAGTGCACATTTTGAGCCCTACCTTTATTGTTATCCTTCCAAGATGGACTTTTTTCTCAATAGAAATTCTAGCTCCACTGGGGGTTGGAAAAAATTAGAAATGATTACTCTCTTAAATAGATGTGAGCTTTTTATCTAACACACTAGAGAGCTGTTGATTTTCCCAAATGCTAAGTGGATTAACCATTGTCTTCCTTGTTCAGCAACATGAACAGCCCCTAAAGGGAAAGAGTCTCTGTCCAAGGGGACAGTGTCAACACCAATGTAAAGACGGTGCCTCCATGGTTCCGCCCACTGCCAGCCACTCACCGTAAGGCCCATCTTGAGATCTCCCCTGTGGTATTCAGCCAGGCTCAAACCCAGTCTTTCATTTGTCTAGGTGTCCCTGAAAAGGAAAATAAGGCCTTGACATTCATCTTTCTACTGTTATTCAAAAGTCTCAGAAGTTAACCGGGACATTCTAAAGGCAAAAGGGATCTATTTCTAACTTACCTCATAGACTATGTCTCCTGGCCTGCCTCTGGCAAAGAAGCAAGCTCCGCTGTGGTTATTCATCCTTTACATCTTAATCTCTTTACTTTTATGTTTCCTTCAAGGCAAGCTCTTTTTGGAGACCATGTTAAGAAACCCCAGAGCCTTGAGGACACGGACTTGAGCCGGCTCTACACAGCAACATCCCTGATGCAGATTGACGACAACGTGATGAGGTATGTTCACATGGACAGGAGAGGAACGGGGTGCCAGGCAGGAGGCTGTGGGTCAGCTCTGCCCAGCACCAGTGATTTGTTCTGCCAACTTTAGTGTTAAGGGTCTTTTTTTCTTTGAATAAGTAAGTGTCCAGTGGATTTCACAGAAAAGCACATATCTAGTTCCTCTTGGCAAACAGGAAGAGGATCGGCCACTCGTTCTGCATTCCTGCCAAGCAGTTAGCTTGAGTAGAGGAGCTGGGGTGTGCCTACCCTAGTCATGGGCCATCTTCACCCTACCTGTCCTGCTTTAACCTCAGGGCAGTATCAGGTACCACATAAATCTGCATTTACAGTGGAGTAAAAGGCAAAGGCAATATTTCTTGCACTCATCTATGTCTTTATCAAAAGTAGAAAAACAGAAAGACCTAGCAGGCTACACCAAGCAAAATGGACATTTTGGGGCATGAAGACTCCTCTCTGAGTGGAGATACAACCCCCACCCACTTAATTCATTAACTCTTTACCTGCCTGGCTCCTCCAGGCACCTGAGGTCCCATCCCTGATAGTATCCTCTTTCCTATTACCTGTATCTGATTGAGGTTAGCCTTAGCTGGAAAAGGTGCAGAAGATGTCTGACCTCATCATTCTCTCTAAATATATCCTCCTTTTTATTTAACAATCGTTAAAGACATGGTAGCTCATACCTGTAATCCCAGTGCTTTGGGAGGCCATGGTGGGAGGATTGCTTGATGCCAAGTGTTTGTGATCAGCCTGGCAACATAACAAGATCTCATCTCTACAAAAAAATCTAAAAATTAGCTGGGCATGGTGGTGTATGGCTGTAGTCCTAGCTACTTGGGAGGCCAAAGCAGGAGGAACACTGGAGCCCAAGAGTTAGTAGTTGCAGTAAGCTATGATTACACCATTGCACACCAAACTCCGGCTTGTGCAGCAAGAGACCCTGTCTCTAAATACAGTGATTTGAGATCTTTAGATGTGGGTTAAAGCAAGTAAGTATTTATCATCTTAGGTAGATATGGACCTGAGAGTGTGGGGTCTCTACTTCTTCCTTATGAAATTTTAGTAGCCTTCTTAGATCAAATAACCTTGCAGTATGCCTGCTAACAGTTACTTAGAGAAAATAGAAATTCAGAAATTGCTGGCATGTAAGAAGGTAAGAATGAATTTTACCCACCCTCACTTGTGACTTTATTGTAGTGTCTAATGAGAAAAAACAAATTTAATTTACATTTCCCATTCATCTTCTAATGTTTTTTAAGCCCAGAAGAGAATGTTTCTCAGCTCTTCCTAAAGTTCTCCCTTTTTTTTTTTTTTTTTTTTTTTTGAGTCAGGGTCTCACTCTGTCACCCATGCTGGAGTACAGTGGCATGATCATGACTCATCAACGTTCTGGGCTCAGGCGGTCCTTGAGCCTCAGGCTCCCAAGTAACTGGGACTACAGGTACACGCCTCCATGCCTGGCTAATTTTTTGATGTTTTTTTGAGACAAGGTCTCACTATATTGCCTAGGCTGATCTCAAATCCTAGGCTCAAGCAGTCCTCCTGCCTCAGCCTCCCTAAGTGCTGGGATTACAGGCATGAGCCACCTCACCCAACCAAGTTCTTCCACTTTAAATAGTGTTGGAGAGTAGCAGTTTCGTGATCTTAACCAGTTTTGGCAGCCTCCTCATAGTTCTATCACCACTGATACCAGAGAGATGGAATGCTTTCTCTGACAGCTAAGATTGTAGAAGGACTAATTCACAAGGACAGATGTCCTAGAGATAATCTCTACACTTGTCCTCCTCTCTATCAAGAGGTTCCTAAGAGTCTGACCAGAGCTTTCCAGATCCTTCCCAGGCAGAAATGACTAATGAGGCTGGTGGCAGAAGAGATCCACAACTTCAAGGGAGGCAGGATTATCTTAAAAACCATGGTCAGACCAGAAAAGCTCCACCATTCAGAAGCCAGAGGGCCTGATCTATGTCAGAAAGAAATGAAGTTTTCAGAGATCCCTGGCCTAGGTTGACTTGAGCCTCCTAGTATCAAGACCAAATGACATTGGCATGTTCAGGCTTGATATGACCTCGGGCTTTCTGATATCAGACCTCCAGTATGAACCTTTCCAGGCACAGAGCAGAGCAACATTGCCTGAACCACCAAACCAGTCTCCTTCTTTCATGCTGGAGCACTGAAGGTTTTGTTAAATGCCAACTTATCTCTTATTACTGCTCCATGGGTGGACAGAATTGCTAACTGTGAACCACTGCCTCATTTCTATTATCTTTTTTTTTTTTTTTGAGTCGGAATCTCACTCTATCACCCAGGCTGGAGTGCTGACCTGCTGGGCTCAGGCAATCCTTCAACCTTCCAAGTAGCTGGGACTACAGGCGCACGTCACCACGCCTGGCTAAGTTTTTGTATTTATTGTAGAGACAAAGTCTCACCATGTTGCTCAGGCTGGTCTCAAACTCCTGAGCTCAGGCAGTCCTGTCACCTCAGCCTCCTAAAATCCAGGGATTATAGGCATGAACCACTGCACTAAGCTTCATTTCTATTATCTAATATGTATTTCATTCCACTTCACTCTGGTCCCGTTACTTCACCAGGAAGAACTTGTTGAAAAGAATGTTCTAGTAAATGCCTTTGTATTTCAGTTTCTCTGTGTCTATAGTGACATCTGGTTTCATGCTGCCTCAAGAAATGTAACATTCACTAATAATTACTACAATGGATAATAAATGTTACTGGGTAATTACTCTGGGTCAGTCATCATGATAGTAAGCACTTTAATGTCATAAATCTCACAGTGCCAGCCGGGCTTGGTGGCTCAGCCTGTAATCCCGCGCCTTTGGGAGGCTGAGGTGAGTGGAATGCCTGAGCCCGCGGGTTCGAGGCTCGCCTGGGCAACGAGACCTCATCTCTACAATAAATCAAAAAATCAGCCGGGCGTGGTAGCGCGTGCCTGTAATTCCGGCTACTCGGAAGGCTGAGGCGGAAGGATCGCTGGAACCCAGCAGGCGAGGCTGCGGTGGCCAGGAGCGGCCACTGTACTCCAGTCTGGGCGACCGAGTGAGACTCCAACTCAAAAAAATAAAAAATAAAAATTTCACAGTGCCAGTGAGGGAAGATCCTGTCTTTGGTCCATTTTTATGCAGGAGAAGTCAGAGACCAGAAAAGTTGAACCATTTGCCTAAGGTCACATAGCCAGTAAATGGCCAAACCAGGATTTGAACCTAGATGCCAAAGCCAGTGCTCTTAACCCCTAACTCTGCTGCCTACATATGTTTTGTTGATATGATGAGTTAGTGCAGGAACTGAAGCCATAGTAAAATCAGCTCATTATTCAGACCTGATTGCTGCTTGTGTCAATGTGACGATTTAGTATGGGGGATTAAAGCAATAATCAGCTCAGCATTTCAATCTTATGACAAATGTTCTTCTGTCCTATTCCTTTTCCCTTTGGTGTGTTCCAGGAAGTTTCATGGCTATAACTCCCTGAAAGAATATTACGAGGAAGAAAGCTGCATGAGGTACCTGCACAGGGTGAGTGGCTCTGAATTAGTGTTGCTCCATCAGCCTCGTACATAATACAACAAATATCCCTCCTAATGTTTCTGGTGGACACCCTGCCAGAAGCTGGCTCACACTACTCTCATTTTTAACTTGAATTTATTATTGAACCAAATGCTGTCCCTCCATGGCCCCCATATATTAATCCCAGAGATGTCCCTTAGGCTGGTGCTCCTGTGAAAATCCTTAATTTTGCTCCAACACCTAATTTTTTTCTTTTTTTTTAATCAATATTTTTTATTATGATTTTGTGGGGCACAGTTAAGGGTTAGGTGTACAATTACGTTTCATTCAGGCACCCTGTTGATAAGAGGTGTTTCCACATCCCCAGACAGATATTTGCGACTGTTAATCCTATCCCCCTCCCCTCCCATAGTTTCCCAGTACCGTCAGTCATTTTCTTATAGTATTACATTGGATGTTCAAGGTTCATTATATGAGTGAGAACATGTGATACTCGGATCTTTGTTTCTGTGAGAGGTCACTCAGTATTATAGACTCTAGTTCCATCCAGGTTGCTGCGAAATTCATGATTTTGTTCTTTTTTATGGCTGCGTAGTATTCCATCATGTATATGTACCATTTTTTTAATCCAGTCCTCTTTTGATGGGCAGCATGGTTGTTTCCAGGTTCCCAATTTTTTTTTCTTGTTCTTCCTTTGACAGTATAATCCTGCCTGTTTCTGCTGGAATTCTGTATAAGAGATCCATCTCAATTTCTTTCCGTCCTGGACCCATTTTTTGGCCATTGTGTATTTTGCTAGCATGGTGCCTAAGACTTGGACTCAAAGTGTTTGCTATGATCTATTGAGCACAGAGTAATCTAGATATATACGATTTGTATCATAGTGATGAGTATGTCTGTTGGCAAGATACACTGGTTTGTATGAATGTACTTTGGTGTGTATTAAGTTTGTGGCCAACCAAAATCCCCATATATCTTTACCTGAACCACCAAGCCAGTCTCCCTCATTCTGTCTTGCACAATTGTTCTTTGTATCCAAACACAGGCCTTCCCGTTTATCCCTGTCAAATGTCCACCTGTTGGTGTGGCCTACCATTCCCCCAGCTAAAGGACTTCACTGTGAATTGGTGAACTACAGTTCTGCCAGCCGTCACATGGCTATCCCTCCTTGTTTAGCATCATCACCCAACCTTTTGGTGTCTTCATCTAAACCATTATAGAAACGTAGAGCCAACATCAGAGACCCGTAGGATGACTTCAGTAACATCTGAGTCTCCCCCTCGGTACCATCTTCATTAAGATGAAAAAGGAGACTATTGGCTATTTTGGTAAGGTGGATGTTGAATGCCACCCTGCCAAGAGTTTCCTGATATCCTCCATTCACCAGGTTACTCCTGTTTTCACCCTTCAGATTCTTCTAGAAGGTCTCTAGTCTGGCATGGAGTACATTTCATTTTTCCTCCCCACGATATAAGCTGAATGAATATGTACATAACTCTCTGTAAAGTCATTTTCGGAAAGGCCCAGCTAAACTGAAACCCTGTGATGATCATCAGAAAGCTTTGCTCCTGCACACGCCTGCTGCCAGGGCAGGAATCACAGAGCCAGATGAACTCAGCACACTGCTGGTGAACACAAGGCATCCTTTCTTCACCTGTTCAGTGAGCTGAGCTGTGACCCTCTTCTCTTTGCTTGAAAGACATGTCTGGCAGTGATTTGAGCCTTGAATCAATGGAGTCTGAAAATGGGATTAGATAATTTAATTCTACTTTATTTTCTTGCTGCAGATTTATGTGCCTCTCATGCTGGTTAATGCAGCTGATGACCCCTTGGTGCATGAAAGTCTTCTAACCATTCCAAAATCTCTTTCAGGTAAGTGTTTCTTCCTACTGCTCCCTCAGCAACTCAGCAAATTGCCACTATAAATTCTTTCACCTTCACCATTCTGTCTACTCCTGGAGACCAGTCTCTTTGAGGAGGGATATCTCATGGCAGTGTTCTTATTCTGCCTAGCCTGACAGTTCTGGGGCTGTGATGGGCCTGGGCTTCAGGCCCTCCTTGTGTCCCCTCTTAGTGCCTGAGACAGGACCATCATGTATATCCATAAGAGAGCTTTTAGGGAGTCACTTGGTATTCTGTGAAATCATTGTCTTGGGGATTATGGTTCCCTTAAGGTTGAGAGTTTGACTTTTAAAGTAGCAGACTACTCTACTTACTGATTAAGCAAAGAATAAAAATATTTATGTTTGAAATTAAAAAAAGAGAGTTTGACTTAAAGAGATAATTAGACTTTAAATTTGACCTGAAAAGCCAAACAAAAAGCCAGTGACAGCCTTTCCATCTGCTTTAAGAATAAAAATACAAGTCAGGCTCGGTGGTTCAGCCTGTAATTCCACGCTTTGGGAGGCTGAAGTGAGTGGATTGCCTGAGCCCACGGGTTCGAGACCCGCCTGGGCAGCGAGACCTCATCTCTACAATAAATCAAAAAATCAGCCAGGCATGGTAGCGCGTGCCTGTAATTCCGGCTACTCGGAAGGCTGAGGCGGAAGGATCACCAGAGCCTAGCAGGTCGAGGCTGCATTAGCTGGGAGCGGCCACTGCACTCCAGTCTGGGCGACAGAGTGAGACTCCAACTCAAAAAATAAATACATACATACATACATACATACATAAATACATAAATAAAAAAATAAAAGAGAAGCTAGAAAGAGGGCGGCAGGAGGAAGCACGGGGAATTGCAAAGTTCCTTGGCACTGTAACTTCAGATCCCTAGGACATCATCCCCCACCCTCCACAGTTCTCCTCTGTTACTACGTTTCTTCTTGTAAATACCATGTATTAACCAGAAGGAAGAGGCATATGTCTGGTTCTCTCATGACCCCAAACTAGAAGAGTAGATAATGTGGTGGATGAAGAGCCCCGCCCAGCCAGAGCCCTCAGGATGGAGGCTGTGTGTGACGGGATCAAAGCCATCTCCCGTCAAGCCTCTGTTCAGCCTAGCATTCCCTGTACAGCAGCCCACTCAGTCACATGCGCAGCCATGGGAGAGAGCAGCCACACCTGCTTCCTTCTGTGCCTCTATAGTGACAAGTCATAGCACTAATGTTGTCACATGGAAATTTATAAAATAGCGACTGAAAAGGAATAATAAAAGAAGGCAGGCTAGAAAAGAGCACTGTAGAGCCAGCAAAGGGCTCCTGTCAGTTATTCCCCTGGGAAGATAGATGCTTCCTGTTATATCTGACTGCCCTGGCTGCCCATTTTACACATCTTTTCCGTAATAGCTTTTACTAGTCCATGTGGGACTAACCTAAACATGTATTCACAAAGTCAAACTCCAGGTTATTAGCTCATAGGATGGCCATTTAGCATGTGGCATTGGGAGCTTGGGCATCTTCTAACACAACCTGCAGCTTAAGTTAGGAATCTTGAAGATAAATGTCTGTAATGAAAAATCATTGACTCCATTGAATTCTTCTTGTTCTCTAGTAAATAACAGTGGTAGTAAATAACACTGTAAGTGCTAGGAATCCCCACTCAGCCTGTCCCCTCCCCACCCCCAACAGCAGCAGCATCACCCAGGAGCTTTCAGAAATGCAGCATCTCAGCTCCCCCTCAGGCTTATTAAATCAGAGTCTGTATTTTCACAAGATAGCCCGTGTGATTCAGAGGCACAAAGTTGGAAACAGAAGGAATCACCTGGATAGTTTTAGAAATACCAATTCCTGGGTTTTCTCCCCCTCACTCCTCCCACACCTTCTGCCCTAAGATTCTGATTTAGTCCATCTGGGCCAGCCTGGGTTTAGGGGGCTTAAAAACTCTCCAGCAGTAGCCGGGCTCAGTGGCTCAGCCTGTAATCCCAGCACTTCGGGAGGCCGAGGTGAGTGGATTGCCTGAGCCCGTGGCCTCCAGACCCGCCTGGGCAACTTGATGAGACCTCATCTCTACAACAAATCAAAAATTAGCTGGGTGTGGTAGCGCGCGCCTGTAGTTCCAGCTACTTGGAAGGCTGAGGCGGAAGGATCGCCGGAGCCCAGCAGGTTGAGGCTGCGGTGGCCGGGAGGGGCCACTGCACTCCAGTCTGGGCGACAGAGTGAGACTCCAACTCAAAAAAGAAAAAGAAAAAAAAAAAAACTCTCCAGCTGATTCTAACATGCAGCCAAGTTTGAGAACTCTGCAGAGTTCTAAAGCCTTCTTAAGCTGGTGCCCATTCAGCTCCAAAACCAAGCTACCTTCCAAACCTGCTAGATCTCACTATCCTGCCTGCCTCACAGAAGATCTGTCCCTCTTTGATGAACAAGGCAGAATGAGTGGAGGCCAGGTGCCCACTTGGTGACTCTTCCCTGGATAGAAAACTCAGGCCATCCTGACCAGCCCACTCTCTTACCTCCTGCCCTGGGGCTAACTAGAGTACAGTCTCTCACTCAACTGCCTCTCCCCTGCAGAGAAACGGGAAAACGTCATGTTTGTGCTGCCTCTGCATGGGGGCCACCTGGGCTTCTTTGAGGGCTCCGTGCTGTTCCCCGAGCCCCTGACGTGGATGGATAAGCTGGTTGTGGAGTATGCCAACGCCATTTGCCAGTGGGAGCGCAACAAGTTGCAGTGCTCCGACACGGAGCAGGTGGACGCCGACCTGGAGTGAGCCTCTGGACTCTAGTGCACTCCAGCAGCCCTCCTCTGGAACCCATGACCCCTCACCCTATGTTTCAGGTCTCCCATCTCCCTCTGTGACCTGGATCTGACCTCACACCATCAGCAGGGGGCACCCACCATGCACACCTGTCTCAAAGTAGACAGCTCTCCTGGGAGCTCCAGGCTATTTTTGGACTTCGTTACTGATTTTCTCCATTGCGTTGTTAGCCATGGTGACAAACGACAGGATTCTCGCCCTCCTGTCTAGTTTCAGCATCTGATTGCTTTTAAGCCAATTACATCTAGTTTCCCTATTAAAAGTGTGTCTGAACAGTAATTTTGTTTTGCCAATCAAAAGACTTTTCCCTGAGAACAGTGAAGGATGTATGTTATTTTGTGTTGGTTGTATGTGTCTTTATGTAGACCTTAAAAAGAGCTCACCATTCCAGGCCAATGCTGAAGACACAAGTCAGTGTGGAAGCCTAGGGAGCTGGGCCTCCCAGGCCAGAGTGTGGCCTTTTAAATGGCAGAGGAAACTCCTTTGAGTCACAAGCCAAGTTTTTTCCCTCACTATCTTCTAAGACAGTTTCCCCACACTTAGCTGCTGATGAGAGTTATGTGGGGCACTTGTTAAAAATTCAGCCTCCCAGGTCCCTCCCCTTGGAAAGGCTGATTCAGGAGGTCTGGGAAGGGGTCTGAGGATTTTAATTTTTGACAAGTGTCCCAGGTGTCTCTCATCATCAGGCAAATTTGGGAAACATGGTTCAACAGCGCCTTCAAATTAGAAACATCTTCTGTAGCTCATTTCATTGAAATTCATAGTCATAAGTTCTTAGCTCCCAGGGGCCTTCAGAGCGGCAAGGCCTGCCACATAGCTACCCTTGTGTGACCACAGTGTAATGTATCAGAAGAGCCCAGGGTGGAGGGGACATCTGGGCTGTGCCCTGGCTCTGCTTCTCATCCTGGACAAAGTCCCTTTGGACTTTAGTTTCTTCACCTATGAAATGGAGGACTTGAACTAGGTAGATTGCTGATATCACTACCAGTTCTGAAGTTCAATGACAAACTCAGTTTACTGAGATTTGAGAGAACATCCCTCCAGGGGAGCTGGGAGCTATTCTCCCAGTCTAAGCATGTAGATATCATCATTTGCCTCTTTTTTTTTTTGTCCCTCATTTCATATAAAGAGGTTTTGGGGTTTTTTTTAAAAGCAGCCAATTGTAATTTTAGTTTTCAAACCAGATCTCTCTAATTCTGTCTTTTGAAACCAAACAATTCAAAAGTTGGATCTGAGTTTGGAGAAAGATATTTCCAACTAAAGAGGGCATGATTTTGAAACCAGATTTTTAATTTAATAGCTTATATTTGTAGTTTGTTGGATAGATCTTTCCAGAGTATGTCTTTTCAAGTGAAAATATCCCTCTAGGTTTCAAGTACTCCCTCTCTCTCCAATCCTGTGGTACTTGAATATCTAAAACCCTGCACTTTGAAAATCAGCAGTTGCTATCTGGAACTAAACAGAACTATGAGTGAAATCGTCTGGATACTTTCCCTGCTTCCTAGGCCTTTGGCTCCAGGACAGACTGGAATATAAATAGCAGGTCTGTGTGAATGTTTAAGAGACATAGGGAGCCACCTGAGCGCCTCAGTGCCAGCCTTCATGGCCACAGGTGGGTGTAGTTTGGACATTAGTCCAAGTGACTTTGACAGTAATGTCTGTAACCTGAAGAAGTTGTATTCTGACAATCACCAGATCATCCGAATAACATCAAAAACAGCCATTATCTCAGAAGATTGAGATTTCTGTGGTTTCAGCTTTGCTTTGGTATAATTTATCATACTCACCAACTTCTGTCATTGTGACTTTTCCTCCAAGTTGTTATTTCTCTAATGCATTTCCTTTTCGTGTTCTTTTAGCACAGATTGGCACTTTATCCACCCTTCAATTTGGAAGCTCATCCCTCTCTTCTGTTGCTTTTCTCTCCCCCCAGTCATAGCTGTAATCTAGGAGACCCATAGTCGTATTTCCCGCTTCGATCTTAATTTCTTAAGACCTTTTGTGAAAATAGATAAACCAAGCAATAACTTGCGAGGATTGAATCACCGTCCCTGGAAGTGAGAGGCTTCTTTTCGTTGTCCTGAAGCCACACCTTTTTTTAATTTTTAATTTTTTGAGACAGGGTCTCACTTTGTCACCCAGGCTGGAGTACAGTGTTGTGATCATAACTCACTGCACCCTTGAATTCCTGGGCTCAAGCAGTCTCCCACCCCACCATCCCCACTCCTCCTGCACTTCCCAGTAGCTGGGACTACAGGTGCACACCACTATGCCAGGCTATTATTTTTTTCTTTCAATTTTTTCGTAGAGATAGGTTCTTGCTATGTTGTCCAACCCAGTCTCTAAATCCTGGCCTCAAGTGATCTTCTTGCCTCAGCCTCCCAAAGCACAGGGATTACAAACGTGAGCCACTGTGCCTGACCAAAGCCACATCTCTTAAATAATTCTGACAAAATAGTGGCTGGTCCAGGTGCCAGCCCCAGTCAGGAATTCAGGAGGAGAAAAGACAATCCTGTTGTCACACAAATTGAGGGGGGTGGTGTCCTTGGAGCCTAGTCTGCAAGGCAGTCCTAGTGTCCCCCATGGAGGAGAGGCAGGGCTAGCAGCATAGCCTTTGTTACCATACAGCCGGAATTTTCCCTCCAGGACTGTGGGGGCCAATGTGCCCGCTAAAATCTTTTTAGTGTGTTACTCTCTGAATGGCACTCACATTCCATTTTGGCTCACATGAAATCAACTGAAGCCTTTTGTTCGAGACTCAGGCTCTCAGGCATGGAAAAGAATGTGACTGTGGTGTCTTACAGGAAAATTCTTGTTTGTCCCTGAATGAGAGCACAGAGGCATTGAATTCACAGAGATGCAGACTTGCCTGATAAATGAGGGAGCGCATTTTACATTTAGGTCATCTTTTTTCCCTCCTCCGTGCTTCCTTGTCTTTCCTCCCTAAGTCATTCATTTCTGATCATGTGAATGCTCTGCTTGCTATTTGGACTAAAACAAGGCTGAATTTTTAAAGAGTGTTTGGATGTTACATTTTTAAATCAAATTAAGGATATAACTTGTATATCAATCTAGACCATTCTGTTGCAGGATTAACATGTTAGAAACCAAGAGGGAAAAGCATCCACATTTCTCCTGTCGTACTTCCTGCCTCCTCAACAACTTGAAGTCACTTATGATTAACTAGTCAGATTATGATCATCGGGCCTGAGAAAGGATGTCGAGTCTCTCTGATGCATTTTTATTAGAAGAGAGTTTAACAGACTTGAAGAAAACCTCTTCGCTTTTCTGCCGTGGGTTTGTACAGGTGATTCCAGAGCAAAATGAAAGTAGAAAGTTGTTTGTTTTTATAATATTATTTTAACCTCTTGGCAGTATTTTATACTTATGAACTTTATGAGCTGCCATACACGTAGAAATATACCCGAGAGGCGAGTGTTCCATTTTGACATGGTGTTATGGAATCAAGGTCCAGGAGGCCTGGGTTCGTGTCCTGACTGTCTCTGATTCACGGTGGATCATGGGCAAGTCACCTCAGCTCTCTGAGTCTCTTACCTCATCCTAGATCATCTCTAGAACCATGTTATCTATTTATACATCATTTGCTAGAACGTTGCTGAACATTTGCCTGAACTTGGCTCTTACAGCCATTATAGGTGGAAACAGTTATGTCAAGGCTCAAAGCTCATCTTGAGGGAATTGAGGAGGGAGGGCACTTCTGCATTAAGCCTTTCCTGGTGAAGACCCTTGGTCTTGCCCAAAGCTCTGTGTCTTTGACTGACTTCTCTTCAGAGTCTCCATTGTCATTGCAGTATGACTGCTGTCCTGAGGATAATCTTGTGACTGTGGCAGGTGCAGAGCACTGGAATGAGGAGACTATCTCCATCCTTCAATGTGACTCAGGCAGAGCATTGAGAATTTCCAGGGCAGAATTCCTTCCTGCTCAGGCTTTCATTCTAAAACTACAGTCTTCATTAAACTTTCTGGGTAGCTGAGTTTATATGCCTGGCATCTGAATGAAAGCTCTGTTTGTAACTGTGTGACTTGAGATCTCTTTTGCCAGCTCCAGGAAAACAATACATGTGTTCTTGTTTGTGTTTGCTAGGCAGGCGGATGTCTAAGTTGTAAGAGACTTTTCTTTTCCCATGGCACTGATTCCGATTTAGAGCTAAAGTAGAGATCACTGAAACATCACATTGAGTTGAAGGAACTCATAGGTCTTTTCCTTTAGGCAGTACAGGAGAGTCATTAAGAAACATTTCACTGCAGCGTTCTGTTACAATATCATCTGGAGTTGTTTTCTTTGCCCAGAAAGCCTTAACTTGCCTCTAGAGAATCCCCTGGTATTACAACAAAATTGTGGCATTAGAGATCAAATTCTTCTGCTGTGGAAGTTTGAAGTGAGCCACAGCAAAACCAGAGAATGTCTTTAAGTGACTGGTAGGCCTCTTGTTACATTCTGCCCCAGCAACCCTCCCAGGGTTGAGTGATTCAGACTGGGCCACATCACCTCGTCTCTGGCAACTTCCTGCCCTGCTTGGCCTTACTCTGTTGTTCAGAGCCACTTTGGATTGCTTGGATGCTTCCCAAAGCCATGAAAAGTAGCCTGTGGCATTCAGAGGCCAAGCAGTTGAGGGAATGGTTTTCTTCCACCTCTGTTATCTAAGCAGAACAAAGTAACCCCCTCTTCATAAACTAGAAGTGCTTTTGCCAGGGCTGGGCATGGTGGCTAACACCTGTAATCCCAGCACTTTGGGAGGCTGAGGCAAGAGGATTGCCTGAACCCTGGGGTTCAAGACCAGTCTGGACAACTTGGTGAGACCTCATTTCTGCAATAAATCAAAAAGTTAGCTGGGTGTGGTGGCGTACACCTGTGGTTCCAGCTACTTGGAAGGCTGAGGCAGAAGGATCACCTGAGCCCAGCAGGTTGAGGCCGTGGTGACCATGAGTGTGCCACTGCACTCCAGCCCAGGTGACAGAGTAAGACTCCAACTAAAAAGAAAAGAAAAGAAAAGAAAGAAAAAGAATTGCTTTTGCCAAACTGTATCTGAAGCTAAGGAAAGGGGAACTGGCCCCTTCTGGCAGAGAGAACTGGAAGGCCATCCTGGGCAAAGGCTGCTGCCTCTTGCCTGTGTCTCTGTTGCTGTTGCCTCTTGCTGTGGCCCAGGCATCCTGCTGGAGTAGCCCTTGGACAAAGGTTGCAGTGTGGACTGCCGCCCCTTTGGAAGCAGTCCCCCTGTGTTTTCTGAACTGTTTTCTAGCATGTCTGTGGGCAAAGCTTTTATGTATCTAATACATCTGCTGAAGTTATTTTTTAACTGGTGAATTAAGTCTGACATTCTGAGTTCCGTGAAGTTGTCAGCTTTCACTAGACTCCTATCAATTGGTAATGAAATCTATAACCTGCCTTCTCCTGCTTCTGGTCCCCATTAGCCAGGAAATCCACTGTTGCCATAAGTTGGGGACAATCCTCTTCTAGCCCCTGAAGAAATGCCCTGTATATCCGCAGGCATTCCCCCTCTAGACCACCCACTCTACGCAGCCAAGTCACCTAGATGAATTGCTGACCCCTTGGTCCCAGGGCCAGCCCCTGTCCTAGGCTGTTCATGTGGGTGGACAAAGCTCATGGGCGTAGGAGTTAGGTTTTGTTTGGTTATTTTGGCCTCTTTAGTTTTCCTCAAGCACAATCCATGTAGAATCCTGTCACCTCTCCTCACCAGTTCCAGATGATCTGGGTCTCTCCCACTGCCTCAGGAAGACCTTCACTGTACCTGAGCTTTTGACTTCTGCCACTGCAGCTGCCTTAGTGACGCCAGGGGCGGGGGGAGGGGTGAGGGGGAGGGGGAGTGAGTTTGCATCTCTCCTTTTCCTGGTTAGACTCCATTCAACCACATTCTTATGTTGGCAGATCTGCTTCCAGATTGATTTTTGAGAACCATCACTTTCACATTCCTAATTCTGGTTTGTTTTGTTTTGTTTTGTTTGGGTTTTCTGAAACTTAAAATGCTGCCCTGAAAATACTGTATTTTTGAGTTTGTGTTCTGAAAACCTCTGTGTTGCTGGATCTTTGAGGGGAACACAGGATCCTTCAGCACTGTGGTATTTAAGATTTGCAACTAGCAATGCAATTTTTTCTAAATATGAGGATATTTACCTTTATTAAGAAATTATACTAAACAATGGCGTCCTTGATCATTTTATGTTCTCATATTACTTTTGATTCTACTATAATTCTGTGTGGTGGTGAACAAAGATCCTTACAAACAAAAACTGTAATTTTGTTAACTTTGATTCAATGGGATTTCTTTACTTAAAAAAATAAAGACTAAAAATGTGGTGTGGTTGTGTGTCCTTTGTATACTGGGGATTTTCTATCTAAAAGGATTCTCCCAGGCAACCCCTTGGGGTCCCCTCCCACTATGGGGGAGCTTTTCTGTCCTCTCAATAAATCCTGCTTTAATAAAAAAAAAAAGGGGGGGGCGGGCTCAGTGG